TCAGCATGGAAACAGACCATTGGGTCCAACTTGTCCATGCTGATCAGACATTCTACATTAATCTAGTTCCGTTTGCTAGCATTTGACCCATGTCCCTCTAAAGCCTTCCTATTCAGATACCCATTCAGATGCATTTTAAATGATGTAATTGTACCCAGCTCCATCTTTATACATTTCCTATCTTTGAAATCTCCTGCAGCCTTGCAATCCTCAAAGATATTTTCACCCCTCCAATTCTAACTCCTTGGCCCTCCTGATTATAATACTCCATTGTTGGAGTCATTGAGGTTTACAGCACAGAAAAAGTCTCTTTGGCCCATTGAGTCTGTGCTGGTCAATGTTGATGGTTATGTGTTCAGTTATCAAGGCCCTAGGTTCTGGAATTAACCCCTAAAGTTCTCTGTCTCTCCATTTTATCTCCTTTCGTTAAGATTCTTGTTGAAACAGACTTATTTGATCAAACCTTTCGGAGTCTGTTCCAAATATTACCTTATGAGGAAGGTTTGCTATAGGCTAATGTGCAGATGCAGAAAGTATTTAGGAAAACTAATAGACAGTTATTATTTATTGCGAGGGGAGCAGAATACAAAAATAGGGAAGTTATGCTTCAGTTATACACAGCACTGGGGAGACCTTGTCAGGAATACTGTGCACACTATTAGCAGGTGCATAATTCCTTGAAAGTGGAGCCACAGGTAGACAGGGTGATGAAGAAGGCATTTGGCACGCTTGTCTTCATTGGTCATAACATTGAGTAGAGGAGTTGGGATGTCATGTTGCTGGTGTACAGGACATTGGCGAGGCCACTTTTAGGATGCTGCATACAATTCTGTTCGCCCTTGTTTAGGGAAGATGGTGTTAAACTTGAGAAGGTGCAGAAAAGATTTACAAAGATATTGCTGGTCTAGAGGGTTTGAGTTATGGGAACAGGTTGAATTAGGTTGGGTCTATTTTCCCTTGAGCATTGGAGGCTTATAGAAGTTTATAAAATCATGAGGGGCATGGATAGGTGAAAAGCCAATAGGGTCCAAAGCTAAAGAACATAGGTTTAAAGTCAGTGGGGAAAGGTTATCCCTGAGGGGTAACTTTTTCACGCAGAGGGTGGTATGTGTTTGGAATCAGCTGCCAGAGGAAGTAGAGGAGGTGGGCACAATTACAACATTTAAAATGCATGTGAATGGGTATATGAACAGGAAGGGTTTAGAGGGATATGGGCCAAATGTTGGCAAATGTTTTAATCTCAATATGGTAGTAGAGTAGGACGCTCCAGCTGGAGCATCTCTGCTTTGCCAGTTCCTTTGCTTTTTGTCTTCTCTTTTCTGCAGTTTTTCTCCCCCTCCCACCCCGCCACACAGCCAACTTTTAACTTCTTAAACTCACCTGGAGGAAATGGAAAATGGCGGCAGGTCCAAGTCTAGCCCGGTGTGAGAGATGAGTCAGAGACCATGCTGTATGGGAGGTGAGTCCCTGAGACAGAGCAGGTCGCAGCCCAGAGTGGGAGGCAGTGCCAGCCTGGGAGATGTGTCCTAGAGGCGAGACACAGGCCAGAGCCCAGAACGGAAGGCTGTGCTAGAACAAACCAGCCTGGAAGATATGTCCCGGAGGTGAGACACGGGTCGGAGCCCAGAGCGGGAGGCAGTCGAAGCCCAGGCCAGCCTGGGAGATGTGTCCTGGAGGCAAGTCCTGGAGGCGAGTCCATGCTGGAGGCAGGCGCATGGAGGCAGCGAGGCCTTGTGTTCTGAAGCCTAGGAAGCACGGACTTGATGAAAAGGACAATAATTTGAGTACTTTTTAAAGGTACTTTTATTCTTATTTTGGATTTTGAGTACGTGAGGACTTTTTAAAACTTTGTATTCCTATGCTAAACTTTTACTCTTTCAATTCTGTAACAAACATTTAAAATATCTGTACCTAGATACCCAGTACCAAAATGGCACCAAAGCGGCAACATTACAAACTTTGTACTCACTCGAATTCATGTGACAATAAAGGCTATTCTATTCAAGGCGATTCTATTCTAAGTAGGACTAAGTCAAATTGGGATGCATGGTTGCCATGGATGGATTGGACTGAAGGATCTGTTTCCGTGCTGTACATCTCTATGATCCTATGGAAATGCATTGGAAGCAGTTCAAGGAATGTTTACTAGACTGATACCTGAAATTGACAGGTTATCTTATGGAAAGGTTGGACAGGTTAGACTTACACCTGCTGGAGTATCGCTGACATCTACTGAGAGTGCTGGCGAAACACAACAAGTCCGACAACATTTGCAGAGAGAGAACAGTTAGCGTTTTGAATCCAGGAACCTTTCGTCAGAACAGTCACTGGATTTGAAATGTTACCTGTTTTTTTCTACAGATGCTGCTAGGCCTACTTTGTTTCTCCAGTGCTTTCTGTTTTTGCTTCAGACTTCCAGCATTCACAGTCCTTTGTATTTATTTTGCTAGCATCTAGCTTGTTTGGTGAGTTTGGTAAGAAGGTAGTCTAAATATTAATGAAGTGAGCTGTGGCATTAACACAGTTAACAATCAATAATGACTGTCAATTGGTACTTCACCATTGCCTTAGTGAGAATCTTGCCATGCCACTTGTGAAAAGCACAAAAGAAGGAGCGAGATGATCTCAATGTCAAGATGGATCTCGGGGCACTTGTTGTATCTATGCATCTTTCTGAGAATGAAAACATAAAAGGCAAACAGAAAATGCTAGATGTATCTGGCAGTTTTGGCAGCATGTCTGGTCAGAGAAATTGATTTAACAGGTGGGACTTCATGGTTGTAGCAATGGACATTTCACTGGCTGATTGCTGTCCTTGGCTTTTTCCAGGAGCCTGACTGGGATTAAGTCCTAACTGAACAGCCGTCTAGGAGATGGCAAGAACGGCAGATGCTGGAGTCAGAGTCAATATAGTATTGAGCTGGAGGAACACAGCAGGTCAGTTAGTATCAGAGAAGCAGGAAAGTCGACATTTCAGGTTTGGACCCTTCACCACGTTGGGCGTTGCTGGCTAAGCAGCATTTATTGCCCAGAGAGCAGTTAAGAGCCAACTACATTGCTGTGGATCTGGAGTCACATGTAGGCCAGCAATTTCCTTCCCTAAAGGACATTAGTGAACCAATTGGGTTTTTCCGGCAATCGACAGTGGATTCATGGTCATCATTAGATTCTTAATTCCAGATATTTATTGAATTCAAATTCCACCATCTGGTGGATTTGAACCTGGGTTCCCCAGGACATTATCTGGATCTCTTGGTTAACAGTCCAGTGACAATACCACTAGGCCATTGCCTCCCCATTAGGGACTTTCCTGCTCCTCTGATGCTGCCTGACCTGCAGTGTTCCTCCAGCTCCATACTAGACAGCCATCTCACATGTCAGAGTTCACGGCTCCAACACTAGGAGCAGTTTTTCATCAGTCTTCCTGCTACGAGGCATATGACCCACTTCTAAGGGCTTCTCACCAATTAGAGGCCAACAGCTTTCCAGTAATAGTAGTGCCACTCATAGCAATGGCCATTGCTGGTAATGTAATTAGGTGTGACAGGAGAGTTGTTGTTGGAACTGGCAAAAACAGTGAGTGTGACAGATTGTTGGGGACAGTTATAGAGTCTGAGATCAGGGAGTGGAGGCAGGTCATTGTCAAGGGCATGATGGTGTCTTCCCACAGATCCAACTGATTCCACCAATGTATTCCTTCAGCTGGCTAAGGATTGTTGAAGAGGACAAACTACCTCCACCAGGCTACAAGCAGCATCACCTGGCACTTTGCCCACTTGGCATAGCCCCATCTACTGCTGTTTGAATATTGGCAGCATTGAGATGAGACCCTTAAGGGCCTTAATAGACCTCCAAGTGGGAAAGCTTGACCCTTCCTGCACTGGACATAATCGGGAGGATATCCCATTATATCATTCCCTGCCTCCAAGCCTGTGCTCACAGGAGCGTTAAATTCTGCCCAATGTTTCTGATCTTTCATCAGGGATGACTCAGTTTAACATTTCATTTCACAAAACAACACTTCTGCCAGTGCAAAACTCGCTCAATGCTGCATTGAGGAGTCAGCCTAAATTACATGCTGAGTATTATTTGATCTTGAGGTGATTAAATCATTGGGATCAGACAGTTTCTATCCATGGATCTTCATAGAATCCTTATAGCGTGGAAGCAGGCTATTCAGTCCACAACGTTCCTCCAAACATCATCCCATGGCTAATCCACCCAGCCAGCACTATGGACAATTTAGCACAGCCAATCCACCTAACCTACTCATCTTCAGTCTGCAGGAAGAAACCGGAGCACCTGGAGAAACCCACACAGATCGGGGAAAATGTGCAACTCCACAGAGACAGTCACCCGAGAGTGGATTTGAACCCAGGTCCCTGGCCCTGTGAGGTAGCAGCACTAATCACTGAGCCACCTTTAAACTGACGCGCCAATTTAAAATCTTGGGGGAAGCTGATAAAGAAATAGCAGATGCTTTGAGCATCATCTTCCCAAATTCAACAAAGGGATGAATCACGGAAATAGAATATGTTAAGGAGCTGGATGAACACAGCAGGCCAGACAGCATCAGCGGAGCAGGTAAGTTAACATTTCGGGTCGGGACCCTTCGTTTTTCGTGTTTCCTCATTTCTGAAGAAGGGTCCCGACCCGAAACGTCAGCTTTCCTGCTCCTTTGATGCTGCCTCGCCTGCTGTGTTCCTACAGCTCCACACTGTGTCATCTCTGACTCTAGCATTTGGAGTTCTTGCTGTCTGTGAATAGAGTATGTTATGCTTTTTTTTCCAAAACAGAGGAAGAAGACCTTTCTCTTTGGATTATTTAAATAAACCTAATGCCAACAAGGGAAATGCTCAGGATGACTGAACAAATGCAGCGTCTCAGTGCTGCGGTTCTGAAGGGGCGCTGTCTCTTTAAAGCGCAGTCCCGTGCCCTGGGTGAACGGAGGTGGCTGCGCCTTTAAGGCGCGTCCACGTGGCCGCCTGTGAGAATAATCGGCCGACGTGTGCGGGTGGGAGGCGCGCATGCGCGCCGGGTGTTCAGTTACCGCCGCTGCCTCAGACGGAGCCGGAGGACGAGCAGGCCGTAGCGTCGGGGAGCGACTCGGCTGCGGGTGACAGTCTCACTCACCATGTCCTGTAGCCTGCTGCATTTCTGTTCTTTCCAGGACCTGGGTACTGTCCGTGATTTCCTCTTTCCTCAAGTGAAGGAGGAATCGAGCAGCGGCGGTAGGTACAGTAGAGCCCTGGCAGTTTGAGGTGATGTTTTTAGGGGACAACGGGCACCGCGGGATGGGATGGGATGGGATGGGTCGGGTCGGGGTCCCGGCGGCCTCACACAGTCACTCAGTCTCCCCTTAGGTAATATTAGTGATGTTCCCGCCCCCCCCCGAGTCTCTTCATTCTGGACGTAGGCAATGGCCTCCGCTAAATGTCACTTGAGTTTGGAGTTGGAAACCCAGGCTAGTTGGGCCCAGTCGTCATATTTTTTTCAGTTCCAGACCATAAAGTTGGGTTAGGCAGTATGATATTTAACTGAAAGTTGTCGTGTTTAAGATGCGATCACACACTCCAGGTAGAGGACTAGAAACGCGCTTTAAAAATGGCCCAGCTATTTTTCGCTGAACTGTTTGATCAATATTTGGTCAAGAAAGTATTATCACTGGGTATATTTCATTGCCAATGTAACTCACACGTTTATATTCATGAAGTATGTAGGTTGTTGATGTTCTCAGTTTAAGCAGTGTTTTTGATGAAGTGCTATACCGATCAAATGTTATGTGTTCATAAGTACACCCAAGGGTTATGTATTTGCCGCAATGTTTGGTCTGGTATTTGCAAGAAAAAAAATTGCATTTACCCATTGTAAACCAGTAATTGAAAGTTCCAAAATGTCAACAAAAGGGCATGAAAATTTGTAGCCACTCAGGAAATGTACTTAAGTTTGACAGTCCCAAATGTAAATTCTTCCATAAGGTAATTAGATACAATAAAGTTATATTATACAACAGCAACTTGTATTTATGTAGTGCCTTTTTTTTAATATAATGTGACATCTCAAGATGTTTCTCTGGAGGATTGTAAATCAAAGTATGATGTTGAGCTGCATATTAAATATTAGACGAGGTGACCAAAATCTTGGTCAAAGAAGCATTTTTGAAAGAGAAAAGTGATATCGAGAAGCAGAATGAATTCCGGAGCTTAGGGCCTCAGTGACTGAAGGCATAGTCAATGATAGAATGTTTCTAATTGGGAATATGCAAGAGACTGGAATTAGAGGATTGACAAATATCTTGAAAGTTTGTGGGACTGGAGGAAAATCTAGAGATGGCAAAGGACAGGACTTGGAGGAATTTGAAAACCAGAATGAGAAGCATTTTTCAGGTGAATTTTTGTTTGTTTAATGCTACAATGCCTTTGAAATGTTGTTTGCAGGGACTTTAATTCTGAACTTAATTTCACCAATTTCACTTCATTTCAGTCGGCAGTTATAAGGTTTGGTCTCAAATGGGAAACATCAGTTACTGGAGTCTTCAGGACTGTTAATAGATTCTTTCAGTGTTTTGGGATCAACAGTAATGCATAGATAAAAACTGACATGTTGGTCTTGCAGCATAATTCCTATTAAAGGCAGTCTGCTTGCGTGCAAAATGGAGCATGAGTGCCAGCTCTTGGCTATTTTGGCATTAAATGAATTGACTTGATGCAAATGAATTATGAAATTTGATAAATTAACCAACATGAGCTTAGACCATCACTCATAATTCTGAAGTTGGCCAAGCAAGTGAAAACAGTTATTAAGAAGGCTTACAGGCAAGCAAGTGAGAACAGTTATTAAGAAGGCTTACAGGATCCTTGGGTATATAAATAGAGGCATAGAGTATAAAAGCAAGGAAGTGATGCTACACCTCTTCAAACCGCATTTGGATTATTGTGTTCAGTCCTGGCACCTTATTGAAGAAAGATGTTAAAGCCGTGGTGATAGTGCATAGGAGGTTTACAAGAATGATACCAAGAATAAGGGATTTTAGATACAAAGAAAGATTAGAGGAATTGGGCTTGTTTGCCTTGGACCAGAGAAGATAAGTGGTGACCTTATTGAAGTGTTCAAAATAATTAACAATTTTGACTAGATAAAGAAGGATGCTCTGTTTACACTAGTTGGTATGTCAGTAAATGGGGATCACAATTTCAAGATTGTCAGCAAAAGAGTTCGGAGTGAGATGAGGAGAAACTTATTTGCTTGGTCGTTAAGATTTGAAATGTCCTACTTGGGAGAGTGGTTGAGGCAGATTCCATTTGAGGTTTCAAAAAAAGAGCTGAATATATATTTACAAGGGATGAATTTAGGGGGAGCTAGCTGTGTAGCTCTTTTGGGAGCTGATACACACGTTAGGTTGAATGGCTTCCTTTTTTGTACTGTGAAATTCTACTTTATTTTCTATTATTAAGTTTTAAAAGCATTCAATTTTACAAACATATATTTGTCTGCAGTGACCAATCTGTATATACATCTTAAACATTTTTTTTACAAAATTTGCAAAAAATTTGTGACAGGAAACCAGACAATTCCACTGGTGTTTATCTTGCATATAACATTTCTCATTCTGCTCATCTCATTGCCATCCACATATATTTTCCTATTTCTCACTGATGTGTTTACCTAGATTTAACACTTGTGGGCAAATCATGAGGGAGAGAAAACTTTTGCCTTTGCCAGTTATGTGGACAATTTGTTCATTCCCTTTTTCTTCATTCCCTTCAGTTTCAAATATTTAAAGCAATTTTGGATTCTGTCTATATTTGCTGAAAAGGCGTTTCATGCTCTTTCTTTTGCTTTTTTTTATTCGTTGGATCAATTTCTCCTCTTACCTTTACGTATTTGGCAAGATGGAGGCAGAGTAGGATGCTCTTGTCAGAGCTCCTCTGCTCTGCCTGTTCTCTTTCCTTCGTCTTTTTTTCTTCTTCTCTCCCTTTAGCACTGGAGCCGGCAGCAAGTCCAGAGCAGCCGTCTCATGTGCCCCGGAACACGGCGAGCAGCGAGTGGGCTGCGAGCCTCAGAGCAGTGCGGGGAAGAGCCCCGCAGCAGCACGTGGGGAAACAGCCCCGGAGCATCGCGCAGGCAGCGAACGCGAGCTGGCAGTACGAGCAGGAGCAGGCAGCTTGAGGCAGCAACAGGGTGCCGAGTCCCGGAGTGTTGGAGGGGCTGTGGTAGACTTACCTGGTTGCTGCTGAGTGCCGGTGACGAGCGGACTGGAGACTGAAGCGATGCAGGACAACTGCTGGACTTGAGCCTGCCGCCACACGCTGAACTGCTGCTATCAAACTAATTTATAACCTTTTCACTATGTTGTAACTACATCTTTAAGTAATGCTTATGCTTTCCTTTAATCCTCTTTGTGTAAGACTTTTTTTTTTACTATAAGGCTTGTACCTAGATACCTGTACCTAAGATGGCGCCATTAAAAGGCAGCCGTTGTAAAAACTTTTCACTCTACTCCTATACTTCTGTATTTTAGTACAAGTGACAATAAAGGATATTCTCTTCTATTCTGCTACTTCACCGATGAGAAGGGGGCATTATTGTCAAAGCCAGAATGCTTCGCCTATCTGAACTTCCATTTGAAGGTGATGGTAAGAAGTGCCTTAAATTGCTGCAGTCCGTGTGGTGTAGTTGCTCCCATAGCACTTTTTAAGTAGGGAGTTTAGGAGTTTGACTCGGTGATCATGAAACAACAGCAAAATATGTCTCAAGGCAGGATGGTTTGAGTTTTGAAGGGAGACTTGGTAGTGGTGTTGCCATGCTGTTGACCTTCTGCATGGGAGAGGTTGAAATTTTTTTTTTTTTTTTTGAAGAAGCACTGCAGAATTGATGCAGTGCATCTTGTGTTTGGTACATGCTGTACGTGCTCTTGTGATTGAGTAAATATCACAGTAGCAAATGGAGTGCTGATTAAGTTATCCTGGATGGTAAGTGTTTTGAGTGTTGTTGAACCTGTAACCCATCAAGGCAAGGAGAGTGTTCTAATTGTGTTATCAGGCTTTGAAGAGTTGGGTGATAAGTTACTTGTCACTGAAGTTGACCTCTTGCAGCCACAGTATATATGTGGCTGGTCAAGGATAATTCACAACTGGATGACTTAGTGTAAATTATGAGGACAGAGTGTGTTATCAAATTGCTCTTGCACACCAATAAATTGCTTACTGACACTCACTTTGGAGCACCCAGGACTATTTATCTTCAGACTTCATCAATCTTTTTTCCACATATGAACCTGTTGAATTCCAGAACTGAAATGGGATTAGCTTTTCATGCAGAGATAGTAAGGACTGTAGATGCTGGAGTCAGAGATAACCGTGTGGAGCTGGAGGATCAGAACAGGCCATGCAGCATCAGAAGAGCAGGAAAGTTGACGTTTCAGGTCGGGACCCTTCTTCAGAAATGGGGAGGGGGAAGGGAGCTGGGAAATAGAGAGGAGGGATGGGGCTGGGGAGGGTAGGTGAGATGGTGATAGATGAGTGCAAGTAGGGAGTGGTAGGGATTGGTCAGTGGGATGTGTGGGGTGGATAGATTGGAGAGAAGATGGATAGGTTGTGTCAGGTCAAGGAGGTGGGGACGAGAGGGAGGGTTAGTCATGGGATAAGGCCGGGGGTGAGGAGACTTTGAAACTGGTAAAATCGACGTTTTAGGCCATTGGGTTGTAGGCTCCCGAGGTGGAATATGAGGTGCTGCTCCTCCAGTTTGCGGGCAGTGGCATTGTGACACTGGAGGAGGCCCAGGATGGACGTGTCACCCAGGGAGTTGAAATGGTTCACGACTAAAAGGTGTTGTCGTTTGTTGCGAACAGAGCATAAGTGCTGTACAAAACAGTCTCCGAGTCTATGTTTGGTCTCACCGATGTAGAGGAGGCAACATCGGGAACAGCGGATGCAATAGACCACGTTGATGAATGTGCAGGTGAACCTCTCTAATGTGGAAGGTTTGTTTGGTGCCTTGAATGGTGGTAGTGGGGGGAGGGGAGGGGATGTGTAGGGGCAGGTGTAACACTTCCTGCTGTTGCAGGGAAAGGTGGTGGGGCTAGTGGGGAGTGTGGAGCGTGGAGCAGATGAGGGAGTCGTGCAGAGAGTGGTCCCTATGAAAGGCAGATAGGGGTGGGGAGGGAAATATATCTTTGGTAGTGGGGTCGGATTGTAGGTGGCGGAAGTGCTGGAGAATGATACATTGGATA